TTTAGGTGCACAGTCTTGTCGTACAGACCATTATATGTGGTTCCGACTCATAAGTGACTAGCGATTTATCGCACAATTATAATGAGAATGTAGTAAAGAGCATAGTTATATTACACCCAGTCCTGTCGTACAGACCATTACAGTGGTTTCGACTCATGTGCAGTGTAGTTCCGTATAGGTCACCTGCAGTGACTCCGGCTAGATTGACTAATGAGCTATGAATTCAACCGTATAAACCTCTGCAGGGGTTCCGGCTAATATGTTATTTTCCATGAATTTATTATCACCTGAGTTACTTATTCTGTTTTATATTTTGGCATGACATACTTATGAAAATGGATATGTGAAGCATGAATTGAAATATATGTATATATATGCTTATATATTTATATTCCTTTTCAGGGGAAAATTATACATGTTTTACGGCGAGGGGTTAGAGCATTTGATAATGAAATGGTTTTGAAAAGCTTTATTTTTGCCCACTCACACTTTCTGTTTTGCGCCCCTCCAGGTTTTAGATAAGCTTGTTCGTTGGTGGCTCATGAGGATTGACTGGAAGTTCTGACAGACTATCACAAATGTAGGGCATCTTTGGGTGTCGTTTAATTAGTGCTTGTTTTCTGGACTGAAGTTAGGTTACTTATGCTCTGATTGTGTATTCACACATTTTCTAGCATTTTCCTTAGCTAGTACTCTTATGAATTGGTTTTTAATTATTTGTATTCTCTATTATCATTATTGCTTCCGCACTGTGCATATGGCTACGTCACCTTCACGTGACGGCCAGCATGCCCTGATTCGGGTCGGGGTGTGTTACAACGACTATCAATACCACTACTTTCACCACAATGCCACCACCACCACCACCTTACATGACCACCAACTATACCACCATCATCACCACTACCCCACCCCTACTCCTCCACCACCCAAGCTCCATGCCGCCACCATAATCACTACTACTATTACCACCACCACCAATGACACCACCATCACTACTATCATCTTGCCAGCAATCACCATGTGGCACTTCCACTACTATCGTTGCTGCCACCACCTCATATAGTCACACTACCATGGTCATAGTTATCATTTCAAATAATAAAAATTTAAAAATAGCAATTCCTATTAATAAATTGGTTATGAAAAAGTTGATGACAATTCACAAATTTCTATTTAAATACGTGATAAAAGTTTCATAGACTTTATTAAAATCCATGTACATTTATTCAAAACCACAAGAATTCTATGGAAGTGGGCCCCATTTCGGAGGGGCCGCCAATTTCTATTTTATTATATGTATATATTAATATTACAAATTTGTATCTAAAGTAAGAAGTTTACAAGTTTTGAGTCTTTGCTTAAAGAAATTTGTTAACCATACTAATTACAGTTGTCTTTGCAAAAAGTAATTTTCAAAATTAAAAGTTCAAATCTTATCTTTAATTAACTATGTCACAAGAAAGATTGACTGAGTTAGTTATTTTGTCAATTGAAAAAGAATTAGTTGAAAAATTAGATTATGTAAACTTGATTAGTACATTTGCGTTTAAAAACATGAGACGTGTAATATGTAGGGACGGCAACAGTTTAGTTTGGAGACGGAAATGTTATATCCATTCTCATAACCACAAAAATTAACCATATCTATAACTGCAAATTAACCATCAGGTACCCATCGGATAACGGATTCCCCATCGATTAACCGTTATATCCATCTTTGTCAATACAAAAATATATTCGTTCAATTAACGCATAATAATTTAATAAATATTAATTTCGTCATTAAATATTTGATGTATAAAATGATTCAATGAATAGACCTTGTCGAACATAAATATTAAAGTTAAACATTGATAATGTCGACTGATCTTTGATATATCCCATAAGTACCATTGAATTCTCATAGATTTTGATTTATATCAAAACTTATGAACATTCCCACAAAATGCAACTCACATAATGTAATTTTTGTATTTACACTCAAAGTAAGGGATTTGGAGAATAATGAATATACATATGTGTGTGTATGTATATATTTTAATACTTTACTATTATGAATAATTATATTATATATTATTCGATTCGGGAGACAGATACGGATTGAGGACCCCTATAACCATATCCAAAACCATAACCGAATAATATTCACAGTTTTTCCCCATACCCAAAATATACCCGAATTTTCACATCCAAATCCAATACATTCGGGTCGTTATCCACGGTTATCGGATTTAATGATTAGAATTGTCATCCTTAGTAAAGGGCCACTTGTAGGGATAGCAACGGTTCGGTTTGAGGACGGAAATAATATATCCATCCCCATAACTAGGAAAATTAACCATATACATAACCACAAATTAACTATCGGGTATTATCCATAACCATATCCACCGTTTAACGGATTTCTCATCGGTTAATGGGTATATACATCTTCGTCAATACAAAAAATATATTCGTTCAATTGAGACATTATAAGTTAGTGGATATTAATTTCGTCATTAAACATTTTATGTATAAAATGATCCAATTAATGGATCTTGTTGAGTATAAAAATTAAAACACTAATGATGTTGGCTTGTCTTTGATATCTCCCATAAGCACTATTGACTTTGCATTGATTTTGATTCAAAACTTTACTTTCCTACAAAATGCAACTTTTGTATTCTCAAGGTAATGGTGAATAATGGATATACAAATACATATATACATACATACATAAATACATACATACATACATACATATATATATATTATACTATTATATTATATATAAATTATATTATTTACTAATCAGATCGAATTCGGTTATGGATACGATTTGGGAACCTCCAAAACCATAACCGAATAATATAAACGGTTTTTCCCATATCCATAATATACTCAAATTTCCATATCCAAATCCGTTTCATTCGGCCGGTTATCCATGGTTATCAAGTTTAATGGTTAGAATTGTCATACCTAGTAATATGTAAGTAATATTTGTATATCTTTTTTCTTTTGATATTAATTTTAAATGATATTGATGTAGAAGTAAACCTTTTCATGTATTTAGCAAATCAGTTATCCCCTTCTGAGGTCCTCATTTTGAGAACCCATAAGGACCAAATGCATATTAGTCATAAAATTGTATTAGTTTAGATCTAAAAGCATAAAATATTTGACAATTTCATAAAGAAAAACTAACTTAATATCTATGAACCATTACAAAACTCATTTTGTTGTTTTTCTTTATTAAGTTGTTAAATATTTTAAGCCTTTAGATGTAACCTAATATAATCTTGTGTCTAATATGCATTTGGTCCTCACATATCGTCAAAATAAGAATCTTAGGAAAGCAAGACTCTTTAACGAATTCTGTTTTATACATATCAATGTACAAAAAGTCGTGAATTATAGAACTTTAAAGCTCCACTTCAAAACCTCGCGCAGCCGCTCTCTGGAAATGATGCTGAGTTTTGAACCCATTACAAAAAATAATATTCTGTTTTGCAATTATTAAAAGTTTAATCCATCTGCATCGATTTTACCATCTAGTCTGCAACTAAAACCAACCAAAGGAATATATTCCAAGCCATCACGAAAACCATAATATTAATTAAAAATTAAAACCATCTGAATTAGAGGTAGTTAGCCGTTTGCCGCTGCAAAATTTAGATCAGCTCTCCTTAGTTGACCAATTTGTATTTCCCACCACCAACAACAAACAAATAACAACGTCAAACTTGGCACCTCAACCACACACACAGAGTGACACATGTAACATGGACCAAATCCCCATTTAATTGTCACAATTTTGGTTGGTGCCCCCAAATCCAGCTCTACAATTATTATTCAATACTACCACTTTTCGGTGTAAGATTTTCTCCCTTTTAAATTCTCCTCTCTTTTGATTTCCTTATTTGAACGATTATGATTAAACTACATTAACATCTGATGTTGACTTCTTCATAGATAGAAAAAAAAAAAAGTGAGAGGAGGAGATTGAAAGGAGATGATTTGAAGGAAAGAGAATCTTACTCCCCACCAAAGTATAATCTACGTGAGAATCTAACTAAACAAACTTTTTGTTATGCATTTTTCCCCAAAGAAAATACTTAAAAAAAAGTTTTGAACCTAGAAAATATTGGGTATCAAAATATCAATGTGCTCTTATTCGACTGTTTACTAACAATACGATTTTGTTACCATATTGAGTTTTATGCTGAATGTGTGATTAAGATTTATTTTTTAACAATTCATAAGAAAACACTACTTGTTAAGCACCTTTTTTTTTTATATACAAGCAATATTGAGAAAAATGAGAATAAAACTTAGGATCTTGGATGCAAATGTAAATGCTGTTAATCACTGAAACTACAAATTATTTGCATTAAGTACACTCCCTTAATTATATAACCAATGAACAATCAGTCGTGTTAGTTTTTTGTTTTACTGAACATGTTGTCAAGATTTACCATCTAATAATATTAGCATCTGTCTACAAGATAACACTACTAATTTTATTTTATTTTATTTTTTAGAAACAAATATAACATTAGCAATTGAGTAGCTACCCCTAATTATATAGCATATTCATGTCACTCACCCAACTCACTACCCAGGGAAACAAGAAGGAAACTAGGGAAGAGGATCATGGATCCATTTTGTGGGGATCATAGGGATCTCTACATCTTAATCGTTTATCGTACAGCTAGTTTTCATCAGGTACTATTTACGTTTAATTGTAAATAAAAAAATCAAATAATTTGTAACCACATAATACACAATGAATGATTAAGATGTGGGTGATTGTAAATAAAAAAATCAAATAATTTGCAACCACATAATACATAATGAATGATTAAGATGTGAGAATAGAATCCCTGCAATTTAGATCCAGATGAGATCTAAATCCGGAAAGTAGTACATAATAAACATCAAATCAAAAAGACGAAAATAAAAAAGAAAGAAAAAAATTATTAAAGCGGATCTTCATTGTTCAGGGGCATTTTGATAATTTCATTTTATAACCATTCGTGCTCGCGAGCGCTCTCCCCCGCTATTTAATAACAGGCGAGCCGTGCTTTTGCATTTGCAGCTGACCAACTCCAATCCAGAGAGACTTGCCAGTCAGTTGTCTTCTTCCTCCCACCAACACCCCTAACCCAAAAGGTAACAATTCTCTCTCTCTTTCTCGTTCTCGATTTTTCTCTCTCACTCAGCTCACCACTCACTCGATTCATCCATCCGATGGATAGAGTGCGATCGTTCTTTACACTGTTTGTTTTTCTTAGCATTTGCATCGTTCGATTGATTAGGATCTGTGATTTAGTCGAGAATTTCGATAATTTTGTAGAATTATAGTGATTTTGTGCATGCTTTGTTTGTTTGCTTATGATAGATCTAGCTCTGATCGAAAAACAACTCACTTTCTGTTTGTTTCCTGAGAAAAAAATTGAACTTGGCATTGATTATGGGAAAATGGAAACTGGGTTCTCTTCTAGTTTTGTGTGAAATGGAATTGGATAACTTTTTTTATACGATTTTCCAGAATGTTTAATCTATATATCGTTAAAATGGCCGAAATTTGCTGGATATATCGGAATTTTGAGCCCTCGACATGGAAAAGGTGTGTGTGTGTGTGAAGCTTATTTTTTCACCCCATATCTCCGTATTCAGCGATTATCGCTTGAAATATCGGAAATATCGGCTGAATCGGCGATGTTATAGACGAAAATGAGTTACCGAAAATTTTACCTCGACAACGACGACGTTTCTGTTTGGTTCTGGTCCAGGCTTCGCGAAGAAGAAGAAACCACGCAATTTTTTCCTTATTTTTATTGGAACTTTAACGAAAAGCTTTCGGTACTGTTTATTTTAACGAAAAATCATATTTTTACACTAAAAAGTCAATCTAGGATTATTCACTTTACCTTTTATTTTGTCCTTATCGTTAAAATTCAAAGTTTTCAAACATTTTTCATTAGTTTTCTTATTTTTATTTTATAGCCTAAACGTGCGTTTTGATTAGTTGGATAAAAAGAAAATAAAAGGCAAAGCCGTTTGTTTCTTTTTTAAATGAAGCTTAAAAAGTCCACCAACAGAATTTAATTGGGGTAAAACGAAAATAAAAAGCACAGCAGTTTGTTTCTTTTCAATTTTCCCTCTAAATTTTGAACATTTGATGGTTTATTTTGAGCCTTCGCTTTGTTCTACTTGTAATTCGACATGGTACTCTGTCACGTATTCTGTTTTGTTGCTCTGTTTGATTCACTAACCAAGTACCGTGTAATTATTGCAGATTTCCATTTGCTTGTATCAATGGCTCCAGTTGCAGCAGAAGCATGTTCTGATTCAATCAAGCCGAGAGGTATTTATTTCCCCTTCTTTTAAATGTTTTTCTAAATTTGTTGGTTATGTGGTGAAGGCGCTGCAGTAGAATATCTAAGTTTCAAATTTTTTTCTATGGTTAATATTATTGATTCAAATTGGGAGCAGCCTCTCCATAAATGGGGGTAAGGCTAGCCGACATTCACCTCTCCCAGACCCTGCGTAAAGCGGGAGCCTTGTGCACCGGGTACGACCTTTAATATTATTGATTCAAATACAGATGTTTACATTGTTGGTGTTGCAAGAACACCAATGGGTGGTTTTCTGGGTGCACTTTCATCTGTACCTGCCACCAAGCTTGGGTCTATAGCTATTGGGGGTGAGCACAATATCTCCTACTTAAGCGGATATTATTTCACGGTTTTTAGTTTTTTAAGTTTTAGTAGGTAGCATCGACTGATTTTACATATTGTTTTATGTCAACCTGCAGCTGCTCTCAAGAGGGCAAATGTTGATCCAGCACTTGTAGAAGAAGTTTTCTTCGGCAATGTTCTCAGTGCAAACTTGGGGCAGGCCCCTGCTAGACAAGCTGCACTAGGTGCAGGACTCCCTAATTCAGTGATCTGTACCACTGTTAACAAAGTCTGCGCATCAGGGTTGAAAGGTGCAACACCCATTTTTTAGAATCTGTTTTTGTTTTTAGGCGACGATATTTGTTTTTCCGCAGGAAAAAAGGTGACATTAGAATAACACAAATTTAATTTCGATGATTGCAGCTACTATGCTCGCAGCACAGAGCATTCAGTTGGGTATCAATGACGTTGTTGTGGCTGGTGGCATGGAAAGCATGTCTAACGTGCCCAAGTATTTTGCCGAAGCAAGGTTAATACTTCTTCTGATTCACGACTCTTTTAAACTTTAAATGAAACTTTGACAGGCACTGATTTGATACAAAAAAATGCAGGAAGGGTTCTCGACTTGGACATGATTCTCTTGTTGATGGAATGCTGAAGGACGGTTTGTGGGATGTCTACAATGATTATGGCATGGGAGTGTGCGCTGAATTATGTGCTGAGCAGCATTCAGTGACAAGGGAGGAGCAGGTAATATATAAGCCCTTTTGTGCATTTTAAATACTGTAGCGCATACCATTATTCAAGGTTATTCATATATTTGTTTGTGATCAAAGCAGGATAACTTTGCTGTTCAGAGCTTCGAGCGTGGTATTGCTGCCCAAGGCTGTGATGCCTTTTCATGGGAAATTGTTCCGGTTGAAGTTTCTGGAGGAAGGGGAAGGCCATCAACAATTGTTGATAAGGATGAAGGTCTAGGCAAGGTAATAATTAATCATGTTTGTATCAGTCAGACACGTAGGCATATCTATGTTTTTCTTGCACAATATAAAATGTCCATCAGGTGTCCCCTGCTAACTGGAATGCAGTTTCTAGAGTAGATAGTTTTGATGCTTCACAGTTGAGATATCTCATTTTTATCATTTGCAGTTTGTTTAGCCAGCGTTTTTATTTGCATAGAGAGGAAAACGGGGTGGGGAAGTGCATTCTACAAACTATTTTTGAGTTCCAGTCTATTATCTAATGTTGCCAAGTGATTGTAATAAATATACCATATACTCAGAGTCTAGGATGTATCTGAATCACATTACGTGAGTTTACCCATCTCAGACGTCCTTATTGTTTGCTTTGCTATCATGTCAGTTTGACGCTGCCAATTGCGGAAGCTCCGACCAAGTTTTAAGGAGAGTGGAGGTTCTGTTACTGCCGGAAATGCTTCTAGTATCAGGTTATTAGTTTGTATATGTTTCTGTTAAATGATTGATATTTAATCACCTTCATCTAATTATTTAATGTTAATATTCGTTTACTTGAATTAGCACAAAAGTCACTTCTTAACTTGTAATTGGTTTGATTTTAAATTGATGGAACCACCTTCATTTTTGTTTTCATAAGTCTTTACAATGCTAGTTTTTCTGAAATTTGAAACTCCTTTCATCAACAGTGATGGTGCTGCAGCATTAGTTTTAGCAAGTGGAGAAAAGGTATTAAAGCTTGGGCTACAAGTGATTGCAAAGATCAGTGGATTCGCCGATGCTGCTCAGGTACTGTAGAAGTTTTTATATATCTGAACAAGATTGTAGAGCTTTAAAGTGCATTTTTGTTTTCATATCATTCATACCACTACGCTTACATGAGATTGACTGCACAGGCACCAGAACTATTTACAACAGCTCCGGCTCTTGCGATTCCAAAAGCTATTTCAAATGCTGGGTTGGAAGCTTCTCAAATTGACTTCTATGAAATTAATGAAGCGTTTGCTGTAAGCTATCATAATTTGTGGCAATCTTTAAAATAGGGTAAAGCATCCCAAGGCTGCGAATATTAATTGGAACGATTTTATGTGTACAGGTTGTGGCTCTTGCAAATCAGAAACTTCTTGGACTTAACCCAGTGAGTTCTCTCTCTCTCTCTCTCTCTCTCTCTCTCTCTCTCTCTCTCTCTCTCTCTCTCTCTCTCTCTCTCTCTCCCCCCGACCGAATGCTTAGAATGAATCAAATTTAATTTTTGTTTAATGAAGCAGTCTCAACTCCTTCTGTCGGGCTTTTACCAGCATAGGAATCCGCATTTGTTCCTTAACTCATTTTCTGTTCTGATTTCAGGAAAAAGTTAATGTGCATGGTGGAGCTGTAGCATTGGGACATCCTCTTGGTTGCAGTGGAGCTCGTATCTTGGTCACCCTTTTAGGGGTACATTTCGCTTCCTATTCTATTAAACTAAAAGAGAATATGTTAAACTTTAAGAATGAATAGGCTCTGATTTACTTTTTTGCTGCTACTCTCCCGCACCTCTCCTTTCCGTTGTAGCTTACCTGGAATTATTTACCATCGAACGATATCTTTTTCTTTCAAACCCCTTATTCAGAGTGCAATCCTATTGTAGGTACTGAAGCAGAAGAACGGGAAATACGGTGCTGCTGGTATTTGCAACGGTGGAGGAGGTGCATCTGCCCTTGTTTTGGAGCTTTTGTAAGCCATTTTCAAGTCGATAACTGGTAAGTGTCGCGTGTTCCATGTAATTTTAGCTTGGTGGTCTTGCTCTTGTGCGAAACAAGAGTTTTTCATATACTTGATTTGTATCCTCTGAATGTCGATGTCAGTTCGCTTATCAGTATACATGACTTGTGTTTCAGGTCAGAATGGCCGAGGTCGGACCTTGTTGGTGTGAGAGATGAAACTGCCACTAGCAAAGTTCCCTGTTGTGCATTTTTTCTTCCCCTTCGTTGTATTTGATTTGCTTCCCCAATAAATTACAGAAGGTGTTTAGATTGTAGAAGTATATTCCCAATACAGTTCAGTTTCACCATTCCTCTCTCTCTCTCTCTCTCTCTCTCCTCTCTCTCTCTCTCTCTCTCTCTCCCTCTCTCTCTCTCTCTCTTTCTCAATTGCTTAAATGTTGTATTGGGTTGGATACTTGGATGCGTGGTACTGAGCAATAATGTGGAGCTAATGGCCTGTACGAACAAAATTGAAAGGTAAAGTCGAAATACGGACATGCGGTATACGTAAATTATTTTTTATCTTTTATGATATGAGAGGACCATGAGTTTATATTTTGTCAATAATTGCATGGATAGTTGCGTCTATTTTGTTGGAATAATTCTTCAAGTTTAACTCACATAAATATGAGAATAATACATATTTGTGATGAATTCGATTTTTAATTGTAATTTGTGGCTGACTATTGCTGTAATGTAGTTGATGAATTATCAAATTATGAAAATTGTCCCGCAAATATCCAAATGCGACTTCAATGTAATATGTGTTTTAGCCATTCGATTTGTCTATTATTTTATATGAAAATGAATAAATGCAATGAACATTCACACCACTTTTGTTTTTCAATTTTTAACTTTTTTTTCTTTTCAAAACAATATATTATTTTTACACTAAGAGGATAGGGAGTTTAGCTAAGCCACACAATGAAGAGCCTAATTTGATATTAAATTCGTCATCTACGAGATTCAAACTTAAGACCTCTCACTTCAAAGTGAAGAGGAATACCATCAGATCGTAGTACTGAATGATTTCAAAACAACATTTTTATTAGTATATTCTTGAGGGAGAGGGTAATATAGTCAATACAGTCGTGGGGTGCAGACAAAAGCTGTATGGGATGCATAGCCGGAAGCACCACACACCGTCTAATTGGTTCTTCAAATGGTGGGCCCCCATTAACCACATCCATCCAATGGCCCACTTCACACTCAATCCCACGGCCTCCTCTCTCTTCCCCCACCCCTCCCCCCTCCCCCCTCCCCCTCCCCTCCCCTCCTCTCTCTCTCTCCCTCCCTGTCTCCCAACCATAGTCTGAAATATCGATAATATCGACGAAATATCGAGGATATTTCGGTTTTTTCGAATTATAGATATTTCGGAACATATCCATGTACATATCGTACAAATATCGATAATATCGGAAAATATATCAGTGTAATGTCGCTAAAATATCGAAAATATCGATGTAAAGGAAGCAAAAAAAAAAGGAAAAAAAAAGAAAAAAAGGGCCTCTCTCTTCCCCCCCCAACCCCTCCCCCCTCCCCCCTCCCTCCCCCCTCCCTCCCCCCTCTCTCTCTCTCTCTCTCTCTCTCTTCCAACCATAGTCTGAAATATCGATAATATCGACGAAATATCGAGGATATTTATGTTTTTTCGAATTACGGATATTTCGGAACATATCCATGTAAAGGAAGGAAAAAAAAAAGGAAAATTATCGTCGATATTGTCGCTAAAATATCGAAAATATCGATGTAAAGGAAGGAAAAAAAAAGGAAAAAGAAGTAAAAAGGGGCTTCTCTCTTCCCCCCACCCCAAAAAAAGGAAAATTATCATCGATATTGTCGCTAAAATATCGAAAATATCGATGTAAAGGAAGGAAAAAAAAAAGGAAAAAGAAGAAAAAAAAAGGGCCTCTCTCTTCCCCCCACCCCTCCCCCCGCTCTCTAAAGAAGAAAAAAAGGGAGGAAAAAAAAACACAAAGGGGATGATTTGAACCGCTCCCATTTTACTCCTTCAACACCTTAACCACAATATATCACTTATGTTTTAGTGATAATATGTTAAAATATTTATATTTATATGAGTGGCATGTTAACAATTACATGCAAAACTATTTTATAGATTTATCATTTGATTAATACTATTCACAATAAACTTACTCTATACATAGAGATGATGAAGATAATGAAAATTTTGAACCTCATAGGAATTTTATGTGGTACTAAATCACTCAAGTATCTTACTATGCAATGTATAAAGTGTAAAATATTGTAGTAAATCATTATATATAAATAATTATGGTGTGTTTAATCTTTTTTTCATTAATTACTACATATTTTCTACACCCACAGTGTTTGTCAGCTCGCTGTATAATCAACTTAAATCAGTTAAATCCATCATGTAATGTTTTTCCTTCTAATTTTTTTTATAAACTAATAGATAATTGACTAAATAAACATTCTCCAAAGTTTCAATAAAAATTTCCAAGTTTTTCTTACAATTTTCATGATTTTTATCAATATCAATAATATCTCAATATTTTCATCAAAATTTCCATATTTTTGAATCTCAATATTTTCGATATCATCTATTCCAACCCCACCAGAAAAAATCAAGACTCATCAATCCATCATTATCTCATTCCTCACCACCTTTATTATTCAGACCCCACCACCTCAAATCCCTACAACCAGAGCAAATCACTCGCCGTTTTTCGTCGCTACTCTCAGAAATCTCGAAGCAGAAGTCATGGGGGTATGCAAGCTAGTCTCTCTCTTTTTGCCTTTTAATTTAGTTATTGAATTTGTATCGGTGTATGTATGCGTGTGGTTCTGTGTTTGATCTGAGACTCTGAGTTTTGTTTGTGGAGCGATTCGATTCGTTTCCAGCTCCAGCTTGGTGGTGGACTTGAAATTACTGTATTGTCCTTCGTCCGATGCTTTCTGCTGTCATTTCATCCTTCTGGTTTCTAATTTTTCAGCAGAAGCTTGTTCTGTATGAATATCATGTATCTAGCTGGTGTTTGCTATCTGGGGTCACTTTTGCTTTCTGGATTTTTATATTTTTTAGATAAAAGTTTGTATTTTTAGCTTCTTGTTTGGTTTATACCAACCAGACTTTTGAGTATTTGGGAATCAAATTGGACGTTGTATGTCAGTAGATTCGGCTTCGACCGATAAGCAACTTATCTGATTGCTAACTTGTGTGCAAAACTTTCTCTGTGTCTGTTGTGTTGAATGGTCAAGTGTAGTTTAGTGGGTTGATGGGATTCAAACAGCTGACCCCACTTAGTGAGATAAGGCTTTGTTGTTGTTGTTGTAGATGTTAAAAACTTACAATGGGTTCTTACCTGAAGGTGAGCCTTGCTCAATGGGTAAGGTTTGTTCTGTTGCTTAGTTGCAGGTCAATACTCAGAATGGTCGAATGGTTCAATGGTCGGAGTTTGGTGCACTTGACTGTCCTTACAATGGACTATTACGTAGTGTCCTGTGTAGTAGTTATAGTGTCACCCAATCTGACTTTACAAAAAGAAGATTTCTTTCTGTTCATTTTAGGCATGTATCGAGTTGATAGTAGATCTCTTACAAGCTTGTCGAATTTCGAACCTCTTCTTCTTTTCGGAATACCTTCATATTGAAGAATAATTTACAGGCATCGGTGTTTGTAAACCAATTCATGAATACATATTACTTTATATATCTTGGTGTTGTATTCTTATGCAGTAGGATTGAGGATACGGTAGGATTCATAAGTTGTTTTTCTGCTGATGCGTGGGAGACAGCCTTCACCTTAATCTTAATCATCTTCGTTACTAAGATTTTGTTTGCCTAAATAATTTCATGCAAGAACATATGAATCATTGAACTTTGTACACAATTGTGTTATTTATACATCTCAATTTGGTATGCATTGACTATAGATGATTGATTCCCTTAATCAAAATTATGTAAATCCACAGGAAAAGGGTGTACCGTTGCCAAAATTTGGTGAATGGGATGTCAATGATCCAGCATCAGCTGAGGGATTCACTGTAATCTTCAACAAGGCTAGGACTGAGAAGAAGACAGGTGGCAGACCTGACTCACCATCAAAGGAGGATCGCACGTACAAGCATGAAGCAGTTCTCGGAAAGCCTCCATCTGTAAGTTGGATTCGCTGACCTTATAGTTCTCCGCACTTTGGAACGCCTTTATCTCTTTTATACTTGACGCTGTCTGTATTACATAGTCATATCTTTCCCTAAAGCCTAAAGGGTGGTTTAGGTTGAGAACATAGAAGAATTACTTGGACCATTATGAGCTTTGGATGCACAGTACATTGGAATCTTTACATCTTTTGCATCACATTTTGCATGTGACTAAGTTTGCATTTAATACTTTAATTTCAAAATTAGATTGCTCAAACTCAAAATATGATTAACTACCCTTTTTTTTCCTCCCAGGAAATTGCATTTTTATCACTTCCAACTTCATATTTGGATTTCTCTGAATTCTTCTTAACATGCTTTGTTTCCCTCTTAAAATTTGGATTTTTTGGGTGCTGAGTAGTTCTTATTTTCCCAACCAATCTATGTGCAACTGGGAAATTATCCCTTTGTGGTTTCACAATATACACAATATTCTTCATTCATAGTAGTGAACTGCAAGTGACCTCAATACGACTTGACAATTTCCTAATCCAAGCTTAGGGCTAGTTATAAATCTTTGTTATACATGCCCGTGGATAATGCATAATACTTCTCAATCAGATCGCCAAATCGCCTTAGCACTTACTCTTTTCCTGTCTAATTAGTTTTTGTTACGTGCAACTTTTATTCTCTCAACTTTGAAAATGTCTGCATTCACCCTCACTGAACCATCTTAAACAAATTTCTCTTTTGCTGTCCTCACTCTGGTGGCACCCGTTGATTTTATAAACCTGTCTGTTTCATATTTTTATCTTTTCGCTCGCAAAAATTTAACATCCTGATTTTGGTAAAGCACGAATCTTGCTTTGTTGAATGATGTCCAACTAAGCTGGCACCAAAAAAGAAAAAGAAAGAGGGAAAAGGAAAAGAATGCTGCCAGTTGAACTTAAGCCACCCTAACCCTAATGTGATGAAGAAAAAGATGATAGCTTCGAAAATATAATGGTTGGATTTTTTATGCTTTTCGTGCTTTGATGTGTAGAAAAAATGGTTTTGCTGCTTGCGTGCGGAGTCATGAGGAGGCACGTACCATGTCATAAATTTTACAGAAGATATTACTACGTATCTATGCCCCCCATGACGATATATATTCCAGAAGACTGGAGCTGTGTTCATGTGTTCAGAAGCCATGATTGGTCCCGCTGGAATCTGTTTGCTGTCCTTCTGAACATTGGTAGAAATTCTGGGCTCGTTTTGGGAGATGAATGGTTGAAAAATGCTACTGTTTTATGTTTATGTAAACTGGTGAACCGTATTTGCAGCTTCCTCTTCTTGAATCAATGCTTGATACTGAGATAATCGTGACTGTTTGTTTCCTGTTATCGATTCAATTTGAGTTTCG